GATAGTGACGGGAAATGTCTAGCACACAGTTTTGAGGAAATATATACAACTGTTTTTTATGATAACGTTATTATAATTTCGGTAGAATATATCGTGAAGAGAATTTTTCATTCATATCCGACCAGAACACGAGCAGCACTGCGTCAATTACGTTGCGATTCAGTTTAAGCAGATGATCATGGGCTTAATAGCTAAATAACTAATAATTTTCAAAACTGATATTTTGGTTATACAATCTATCAGCCCCTGTTTACGTTGCGATCACATGACCACACACAAACTGTAATTTTATTTTACTGTCATTTGTATATTTATATTATTTGAAAGAACATAACACAATGAGTTAAAAGTATTATTTTCCTAATTGAATTAATTATATATCTGTAATATATGCAATGTAATCGTAAAGCTAAAGATTCTGTAGTTAACTGTAAGCGTTTGTGAAAATGCAAAGGAAGATTATATGTAAAGTTTTGAAAAAAAAACGTTTGATATTTATCATTTTATTTTCACAATTGCATTTAAGTATGTTATTATTGTTAACTGTTTACTGAGTAAGTGATATTTCAGTAATTAAAATATACCGATTCTGTATATCAGGATACCCGGATTATGGTGCTTATTGGAGAGCTAATTACGAAGATGAAAATCTAGAGGAAGACATGTGGCATATGTACGCAGACATAAAACCATTATACGAGAAACTCCATGCATATGTACGATATCGATTGAAAGAGGTGTATGGTGATAAGATAAACCTTGATAAAGGATGTCTACCAGCTAATGTATTAGGTAAGGGATGTACAATTACTGTGATGGGTTGGGTGATAAAATAAATCTTGATAAGGGATGTCTACCAGCTAATGTATTAGGTAAGGGGCGTACCATCACTGTGATGGGGTGGGTGATAAGATAAACCTTGATAAGGGATGTCTTCCAGCTAATGTATTAGGTAAGGGGTGTACCATTACTGTGATGGGGTGGGTGATAAGATAAACCTTGATAAGGGATGTCTTCCAGCTAATGTATTAGGTAAGGGATGTACAATTACTGTGATGGGTTGGGTGATAAAATAAATCTTGATAAGGGATGTCTACCAGCTAATGTATTAGGTAAGGGGCGTACCATCACTGTGATGGGGTGGGTGATAAGATAAACCTTGATAAAGGATGTCTACCAGCTAATGTATTAGGTAAGGGATGTACAATTACTGTGATGGGTTGGGTGATAAAATAAATCTTGATAAGGGATGTCTACCAGCTAATGTATTAGGTAAGGAATGTACCATCACCGTGGTGGGGTGAGTGATAAGATAAACCTTGATAGGGATGTCTACCAGCTAATGTATTAGGTAAGGGGCGTACCATCACCGTGATGGGGTGGGTGATAAGATAAACTTTGATAAGGGATGTCTACCAGCTAATGTATTAGGTAAGGGGTGTACAATTACTGTGATGGGGTGGGTGATAAGATAAACCTTGATAGGGATGTCTACCAGCTAATGTATTAGGTAAGGGGTGTACCATCACTGTGATGGGATGGGTCACGGTGATTCCGACCAATAGCCTGGCAGCAGCACATCTCAAAACATTCCGACCAATAGCCTGGCAGCAGCACATTTTAAAACTTTCTGACCAATAGCGAGGCAGCAGCTCATTTCAAAACGTTCTGACCAATAGCGAGGCAGCAACTCATTTCAAAACTTTCTCACTAATTGCGAGGCAGCAACTCATTTCAAAACCTTCTGACCAATAGCGAGGCAGCAGCCCATTTCAAAACTTTCTGACCAATAGCGAGGCAGCAGCACATTTGAATACATTCTGACCAATAGCGAGGCAGCAGTTCATTTCAAAACTTTCTGATCAATAGCGAGGCCGCAGCTCATTTCAAAACTGTCTGACCAAAAGCCTGGCATCAACATGTTGCTGTTGCAAGTCACTAGTAAATATTAAGTACTTTCAATACATAATATGTAAATCTTTGCTAAAATATACTGTGAGAAAGAGCCAATCGTCAGTCTATATCATTTGGCAAATCAAAAACACAATGCGAAATCAATAAGGAACAAAAACAGCGTGGAGACTACTGCACAATGTCGGACTGACGGTTGAGAAAAAGTTAACTAGATAAGGGTTGTACCATCGCTCTTTTGAAGTGGGTGATGAGATAAACCTTGATCAGGGATGTATATCTTCCAATTAGGTAAGGGGTGTAACATTACTGTGATTGGGATAGGTGATAAGATAAACCTTGATAAGGGATGTCTACCAGCTAATATATTAGGTAAGGGATGTACCATTACAGTGATGGGGTGGGTTACCAAATAAATCATCATTAGGAGGTTGCTACCAATTAATGGCATGAAGTGAATCGTTCCTGTTTGGAGTGGGGTGATATTCACTACAATAAAGGCTACCGACCTACGTAATAAAACAATAAATAGATTATGGGTTACAATCTAACATACCATTATACGGTTAATCAGTGTATCAATTATGATTCTAAATATCTGCCTCGAAGTAGTCTTGACATCTTGATTTCAAAGTGGCCACTCAGTGGCCATCGTCTATAACTGAATATTATTTAGGACATAATCTACCATCTTTAACAGTCGTCGTTGTCTTTTAATTTTCAACCAACAAAAGGTGACATGTGGGGACGTTTCTGGAATAATTTATACAGTATTGTTGAACCATACCCGAATGGTACAAATGTTGACGTCACAGATGAAATGATACGACAGGTAGGTAACAAGGCTCCAATTGTATTCCATGGTAGGGCGTAGACTTCAAATGCATAACAAGTTGAAGGACGATAGTAGGTTGAATAACTTTCCGGGAAAGACAAAGAAATTCAAGCTAGCTAAAGACAAGAGTAGCATTCTGAAGTTGTAAATTTAAAGATGAATATTTTCTTTCATGAGGAAAGTGTTTGGATTCACTGAGTGGATTCACCTGTTATTATGACGCACATCAATATTTGAATAGATAAATGTAACCAACCAATCAATGAATGTGACTGAAGACAGGCAGTAGCCTGGCGCAGAAGGCTGAAAATAGTTCATTTCATCAGACACCCGATAACCACCAGGTCAACTAATGTGCACAATCATGGTCCATGTGTTTTTATCTCTTTCTACAGAACTACACAGTCGACAGAATGTTTCGTATGGCGGATGATTTCTTCATATCAATGGGAATGATTGAAGCGCCCCCAGAGTTCTGGGCAGAATCCATGTTCGTCAAACCAACTGACAGATTAGTAGAGTGCCATGCGACTGCCTGGGACTTCTATAATCAAATCGACTTCAGGTATTGAAGGTTCAGAGAAATGAACGAATCAGTGTGTGAAACAGCTTATGACGTCAGTTAATACTTCAGAACGTCTCAATGACGCTGACACCACTTTCTATTTTACATTCAGAATACGCATGTGTACAGAGGTCAACATGGACGACTTTATGACAATACATCATGAAATGGGACATATTCAGTACTACTTACAGTACAAACATCAACCGGTTGAGTTTCGTGATGGTGCTAATGAGGGTTTTCACGAGGCTGTAGGCGAGGTCATCGCTATGTCTGCCGCTACTACACAACATCTTTACACGATTGGTTTATTGCACGAAAACCCGGATGACTATGGTAAGGAGCAATCTTTCGAAATCGTATTATATATATCTAATTCTTTTAACCGACTTGAACCTAAGTAGAAAAAAATCACGGGGATAATTACACAATCATTGCAATAACTACGTACAGCACGTAACTTCATTCCTATCGCCCGCCAAGGCAGAGGTCGGCCACCCAATCGACTTCCCTCGACTCCAGCTCGACTGACACGAACTCCACTCGCAAGTTATATTAGCCAATCACATTGTAATGAATCAATCTATTCATAATATTAAACCAATCAATAACTTGTGTTTACCTTTTCAATAGCAAATGATATCATTTCGAAGTTGCCACACATATTTTGTCTTATTCTCTACATATACGCGACCCGAGAGGTCAACCTGCAAAATCAAGATTACACATACACTTGATAACATGTGTAGTTACACTTCACGTGGATAATTGCAAGCGAGTGTTGCTTTAACAATACTGACACCGTAGCATGTATTGAACTAGCAAATTGAAGAACTCGTGTGAATCGTGTTCTACATTGTCAGATGTCAGTATATTAAAATTGTAAATTCGATATACTAGTATGTCAAATTATCTTCATGTATCGTTTTCATTATCCTAGCATCGGACATCAATTTCCTGATGAAGCAATCTCTGACAATGGTTGCTACATTACCATTTTCCATCGCGTTAGAGAAATGGCGTTGGGAGGTATTTCGTTATAATATACCGTACGAAGATTGGATGAAAAAATGGTGGGAGATAAAGTAGGTGCATTATGGGAGTTTTCAAGCTGATTGACAGATGAGCGGATGCGTTTATGTCAGGGTGTGGCATTGTGTTATATTTAGAATATTAAACAAATCATATAAATTGTGCGAACTGATACTGGAAGAGAAACCCCCGTTGAGGGTTCAAAGCCTAAACATATTTGAGTTACCCGCTCGCATTATGATACAATCGCAGCATGACAAGAATCACGGTGGAACTAGGTGAAAAAAACAGTTACTATGTGTTAAACATATATCCTCAGTGAAATAAAATAACACACTCAGGAAAGCTTTCTGAAATATATATTAGTACGTTTTACGACATAAATGCTCTGTACTGACGGATTAAAAGGCGGTAGTCGTTGCGCCACGCATGCGCGAGATACATGGGTCTCATATAGATGGCAGCTGTTGCGCAAATCAACGAGTGCAAACCGAGACGTTACCAAGCGTTAATATGGTATTTTTAGGTGATTGGAAGGTATCGAAGGAGTCGTGCCGGTAATTAGTGCAAGTCATGCTTAGGTCAACTCTCATACTTGTGGTTTCCATTAGAAGAGCGCATTGGATTGTGGGAAAATCAATGTTTATCAACACAAATGTCGCACATG